GTTTTTTTTTTTTTTTTTTTTGGCTCCATTATTGTATTATAAATAGATGTAAATTGTGAGGTTTAATTATCAAGAAATAAAAAAACTTCTTGTTTCCGTTTTGTTCAGTAATAACGCAAAAATCACCAAAACCAGCTTCCAGGCACATCATAAAACACTTTCCTTGAGATGAAATTTGCCCCCAGCAATACTATGATGCACTTGGGTATGTAAATTTGTCTTCAAGATACGGTGAAACCTCTAACAAAATATGGGAGAAAAGGGATGCCAAAAAAAAAAAAAAGCTCTTAGATGCAAAGCTGAAGGGGAGAGAGAGTATCTAATTGGCAATTCTTAATATAATAAGAGGAAATAAAACATTCTATATCTACATTTTACTTGCAACCTTCAAAAAGTTGCATTCTATCAAAGGTGGCTTTCCAATTTGAATTAGAGATTTAGCCACATTAAAAGAAACTCAAAAATTAAGGGAAAACGGAGAAAACCGATCAAAATCGAAGGGACACCACTCACTCCAGTGTGCCTGTCTCCTTGCTGGAGCTGGTGTCAAAACAGATAGGGGCTGATTTCCATTCCCTCTGCTGACTCCAGCAGGCTCCTCTGCCGGCTCCAGCATGTGTTACTCTTGCTGGAGGGGAAACCCTCCATTTTGGCCCCCCTGCACCAGCTGTAATGCCACAATTTTCCCCAGTTTTTTATCCTAATTCCATCTATATATATATATAAGTTACAAGCCTACCTTATATAATTTCCACATCATCCTACTGAAGATGGATCAAACAATATAACACCAATTTTGAAATTGTTCTAACATAGCCTTATATAATTTCCAAGTCATCTTACTGAAGATGGATCAAACAACATAACGCCAATTTTGAAATTGTTCTTACATAGCATTCAGAAATGAAAGAGGCAACAAGCCTTTACCCTTAATATTTTAGTAGACCTACATATTTTTGGGCTGTAATAAACTTTTTGTACCTAACTTGTTTTCAATTAGTATCACTCGTGATGCTGAGACCTGTTTTAACCAAAATAATGTGGAAACTATTTCATTTTATCGTAATCTTTTACAGATTAATATAGATGCTCTTTCATTTTTTAGGACTGCGAGCGAAGAGCAGTAACAAAACTATTCCATCATAGAATGGACAATTAGAAATTCTTTCAGTGGGTTGAGGTAAAATTTTCCTTCTTTTGTTGTCCAATTTTGAAGAGAATGGATTAAAGGACCGTTTGCATAGCTTTTGCTTTTGTTTTCTGTAAAAGAGCTTTTGGAAGAAGGTACCTTAATTTTTGTTCGGAAACTAGTTTTTAAAAGCACTTCTTATTCCAGAAATGTTTTTAGAAAATATTACATTGGATCAACTTCTTGTAAAAGTCTTTTAACTAAAAGAAGTACTTTCATAAAATTAGCCAAACAATCCAAAAATTGGTTTGAAGTCTCAAAAGCTCCTTTTGGCCTTTTCAAAAGCCATGCCAAATGGCCTTAAAGGTACTTTTCTTTCAATCTGCTAGGTTTGAGCTATACGTACACTTCTGAAGTAAAATGAGATAACCCGTCCATTCCAACCAGTGAAGTTTTATCCTCCCTAATCTGACAATTTTATCCCCTGATACAGGCTCCATCCTGGATTCCCTATATGCCATCTTCATCAACGGTGATATGGAATATAGCATGTTTGTTCATCTGTCTGTCTGTTTGTTTGTATTTTTTCTCTTCTCCGGTGGGACGAGAGGAAGGGTCAATTGCTGGCCGGTGTCGACTTTCTAAACTTGGTAAGGTAGAACACTTGGACGTGTCATGTCCGATAACAAATTAAGTTTCATTCCCAATAAATTTGGGAAGGGCTATACGAATGATCTTGGCAGGGCTGCAACATATTAGTATTACTGTACATCTCAGGTCAATAGTTCTGTAGGTATTATGAATATTCCATTCCTTCTTTGTTGCGATCTTCATTGCTGCGGTTGAATCTTTGTGATATTGTACTTCCTCTTATCATATAGGTGCTCAAGACTACGTGCTAAGGTTCAAATTGAACTATAAACAATGTACGAGCAATCACCAAGAGCTTGGTTTGACAAGTTTGCAAAAGTGTTGATGAATCAAGGGTCAGATCATACCATGTTTTTCCAACAATCTAAAGAAGGAAAAATAACAATCTTGATTGTGTATACGATATAATTCTCACTGGAGACAATATAACTGAGATAGATAGACTAAAGAAAAGCCTAGCCTCCGAATTTGAAGTAAAAGACATTGGACAGGTGCGGTACTTCTTGGGTATGGAGGTAGCAAGATCAAAAGGGGGTATCAGCATATCACAATGGAAATACATCCTTGACTTGTTGACTGGAAATGGCATGCTTGGTTGCAAACCAAGCAACACACCTATAGACTGTGGAAAAAGGACAAATGAGACAGGGGAACCAGTTGAAAAAGATAGATACCAACGATTGGTTGGTAAGTTAATTTACCTATTACACACCAGATCGGACATTGCTTTTGCAATTAGCGTTGTGAGTCAACATATGTACTCGCCAAGGAAAGTTGACCTAGAAGCAGTTTACAAAATTCTCAGGTATCTAAAGGGTACCGTTGGAAAGGGACTATTCTTCAAGAAGTGTGAAAAAAGAGAAGTAGAAATATTTACAGATACCGATTGAGCTGGATCAATTGAAGATAGGAGATCAACATCAGGTTATCGTGCTTATGTATGGGGAAATTAGTAACTTTGAGAAGTAAAAAACAGAATGTAGTGACAAGAAGCAGTGTTGAAGCAGAATTTAGAGCAGCTGTACAAGGGATATGTGAAGGACTATGGTTAAAAAAACTCTTGGAGGAAATGAGAGTTGGAATAAAATTACCAATAAAACTCTATTGTGATAATAAAGCAGCCGTCAGCATTTCATTCAATTCAGTTCAGCATGATAGAACGAAGCACGTGAAAATTGGTAGATACTTCATCAAAGAAAAGGTTGAAGAAGGAGTCACTTGTATGGTGTATGTCCCTATAAGGGAACAAAGGGCTGTCTCAACGAGATTTTAATGATTTCATTAGCAAGTTGGATACGATCAATATCTAAGATCCAACTTGAGGGGGAGTGTAGGAAATCGTGTATAAAGGAAAGATATTAAAATCTTTCCTTTGATAGTGTTGATTGATAATTTTAGGGCTATAAATATTCTCTAATATTAGGAGATAGTTTTTTTTTTTTTTTTTTTTTAAATTGATCCCTCATCAATTTAAAACAACCAACCCGTCTCTGCACTTTAATCTCATAACACTTAATATCAATAAGTCCGAAATTAAACCCGATGGATCACTTTAATGGATTAAAAACTTTAAGATAGCAACACACATTTTAATTTATATACATGTGTAGCCCCATATATGTTGGAATCTTCCAACAATCTCCCACTGGGCCATACATGTAATCTTTTAAATGTGCACAACATTATGAGCTCAAAATTTGCTATTATTATTAGGGCATTTCCAAACAATCTCATCCATTAGTCATATTGATGTAGGATCAAAATGATTTTCGTCACATTTAGCATGACTAAATCCATCAATGGTCAGGTACACTCATACAACCAAAAGACATAGATCAATCATGGGAGCGTAGCATGGAAATTACATGTTATATGATCCAAACATGTCTATTTTCAATTGGTCCAACCTTATTTCTTAAGTGAGATCAATACTGAATATAATAACAAAGTGAAATGAACTGAATATTATATTTCTGTACATAAAAAATATTCAAATACACAAATGTGTCCAATTAAATGTAAAGCAATAAGAATACAAACTCCCACTAAAACACGATATCCTCAATAAATCTGACACCCATACAAGCAGTGTGCTCATGAAAGACCTTAGGTGGCAATCCCTTAGTAAGCGAATTCGCAATCATGGAGTTCGTCTCAATGTACTCTATGAAATTTTGTCCACTCTGTACTTTTTCCTTCACAACCAGGAATTTAATGTCAATGTGTTTTGACATAGACCAAACATGCATGAAGGATCTGTTTGGTATATATTAAAATTAGATTTTTAATAGATTTTGATGAAAGTTGATGAAATATATGGTTAAAATTAATTGTTGTCTTTAATTTAAATTTTGTCAAATTTTAATTCATACCAAACTGGGTTAAAGGTTTTTGTCAATTGGACCCTTCACATCAATTATGCATTATTAATTACTTATGGCTATATTATGCAGATTGCCTATCTATTAAAGACTTAAAGTTGAAATAGAAATATATATCGTGGCTATGATTTACCTCTAATGTCAAAATAAACTGCCTCTTTGAATTTAAATTCAACACTTTATTAATAAAAATTAATTGGTATAACAATATCTCTTCCATTTAAAATGACTTAATTAAAAAGAAAATCATTAATAATCAATCATTATATATCAAATTAAAATGAAATTGTACGACAATATTGAGTGAATATTGTAAATAAGTTTTAGAACGAATGGAAGTTTAAGTCTCTTAAATTTATTTTTCATTAAGTCTATTATAACATTGTAAATAATAAAGATTACTTGTATTTTTAGGGGAGTGTATTCTATTGAGACTTTAGAAGATTTTGATTATTATTGTTTTTGATTATTTTTTATTTTTTATGTGATGACTTCTAAGATTTCGTGTATTTTTAATAAATTTGTATGGAATTAATGAAAGTCTTTTATAGACTCATATGGACTTTTACTTTAAAATTTTTATAAACTTTTGTAGAATTCATTTCACACTTGAAATAGAATTTACATGGATTTAGTACAAGGGTATTAGTTCTTACAATTTCCCTTTTTCTTCTCCCCCCATATAATAAAATAACATTTTAAAAAGAATAAAAATTTAATACCTTGATTAAATAAATAAAAAAATCAATAAAAAATAAAATCAATATTCAGTATTATTAATATAATATACCCTTGTTTGAGCCTCATTTTTTTTGGGAAGAATGAATTTTTGAATAGCGTATTGATGGAAAATGTATGATTAAAAAATAAGGAAAAAGTTTTGAATTTACGTGTAATATTATTTAATTGAAAAACGTGTGGTTGAAATGAAATCAAAACACTGTTGAAAAATGTATTTTTTCAAAGAATGGGACTCAAACAAAGGTATACATTTAAAGAATAAATAAAAATCAATATAAAATTAGTCTATATAAAATTTTATAATTTAATTAAAAATAGATAAAAAATGAACGACAAAAGAATTTTTTTTTTAAAAATCTAATGTTCATAGTATTGAAAAGAAAATAAATAAACAATAAGAGAAAGAGAAAAAAGTAGAAACAAATTTAATCAATAGAGAAAAATAAATTTTAATCATAACTCTAATGTTTTTAGAAGAGAAAATGAAAGAGAAATATTGAGAAAAATATTATTTTTTTTGAAAGTTTCACAAAATCTTGTGATTAATGAAAGATTAATTTTGATATTTTATTTTAGTACTTTATACTTAAAAGTTATTCATTTTTTTGGGAAGAATGAATTTTTGAATAGCGTATTGATGGAAAATGTATGATTAAAAAATAAGGAAAAAGTTTTGAATTTACGTGTAATATTATTTAATTGAAAAACTTGTGGTTGAAATGAAATCAAAACACTGTTGAAAAATGTATTTTTTTCAAAGAATGGGACTCAAACAAAGGTATACATTTAAAGAATAAATAAAAATCAATATAAAATTAGTCTATATAAAATTTTATAATTTAATTAAAAATAGATAAAAAAATGAACGACAAAAGAATTTTTTTTTTAAAAATCTAATGTTCATAGTATTGAAAAGCAAATAAATAAACAATAAGAGAAAGAGAAAAAAGTAGAAACAAATTTAATCAATAGAGAAAAATAAATTTTAATCATAACTCTAATGTTTTTAGAAGAGAAAATGAAAGAGAAATATTGAGAAAAATATTATTTTTTTGAAAGTTTCACAAAATCTTGTGATTAATGAAAGATTAATTTTGATATTTTATTTTAGTACTTTATACTTAAAAGTTAGTATCTTGGAGACTTTAATAAAAATATCTAAAAATTATTAAAATTTGAATACTCTAAAATTTATAAAGACTTTTAAAATTTTTAATTGAATATATCATGACTTTTAGAGATTTTTTTTTTAAAGTTTATAAAAGTTTTCATTGAATACATCAATATTTTCGAAGAGTTTCAAAAAGTTTACATTGAATATCCCTAAACTTTTTAAATCCCAAAAAATATTAAAAAGTCTCGATTGAATACTTTAGATTTTGCTTATTTGCTACTCCCTTCTTCACATTTATATAGACTTCAGTATTTTCTTGTCTCAATCATATAGTCCTTTTTTTTATTGAACTTGTTTTGTTTTGTTCGTTTACTAATATACCATTTTTAATTTGTCTAGTTATAACAAATTTTTTCACTTAATTTTGAAATTGTATAAGTATAAATAAAGGTAAATTAGGAAAGTTATTGGCAAAATTTTTTTTAATAATAAATAAAATTTCTTAATTTGTGTGAAAAATAAAACAAACCTATATACATGGGACGGAGGAATATTTAATTTTGGTTATTGATCCGATCAAAACATTGAATTAGTGAATATTAATTAAATCAACAATTATCGTCAGAAAGTTTATTTATTTATCTTTCTAAGCCATATATATTAAAATTACTTTTAAAAGTATTATTTTCGTAAATAAATATAATTGCTTTTAAAAAATATTAATAAAATAAGTACATTAATTAAAAATTTATTTATTATATAATATAATAAAATACAAAAAGCAGAACTATTTCTTGTTCTCGTGTTTTTCTCCTGCCATTGTTGAACAGAAGGAACAAACGATGGAAGCTCGCACTCTCTTCAAACCCCTTAAACCCTTCAATCTCAATCGTATCAAATTCATTCGCATCCGATTCTCTTCCAATTTTTCATCTACCAGAATCCACACAGGTCAAGTATCACTGCAAAATGGCGCCCGGCGCTCTTTAGCCGGCAATCGGATAACTTGCACCTGCCTTCCTCTGTTTGCCGTTATAACTGGGTTTTTATTTCTTCTTGTATACCGGTGTAATTTACCGTAGTTGGCGTAAATGTCTTTGCTTTTACACCCTTTTGCAGGTGGAGATAGAATGACTAAAAGAGCATATGATGGATTGCTATTAGACGCCGGGGGCACTCTCTTGCAATTAGCGAAGCCAGTTGAAGAAACTTACTTAACAATTGGCCAAAAATATGGTCGAATTTCAGCCTCAATTTCTTTGGCAAAGATCTTTGTATAAAATTTAGAATAGTTCTATTTTTACACCCTTACCGAATTGTTTACCCCTTCTCACATGTAAGTGGGATGCGCGTGAATAAAAAAATCTCAAAATGTGGTCTCCACTGCCCTGTTTTGAGTAGTCGGTAAGGGATTAGGTAAAAGAATTCGGCATATGTAGCATGGTCCTACAATTTATATTCATCTATATGCTAGAACTATTTGAGGTTTAAGGGTTGTTGTGAATCCTGGAAATGGTGTTTAATTCAATGGATTTTTTTCCTACTGCAGGTTTGAAAACCACAGTAGCTGATATAAAGCAAGGTTTTAAAAGAGTTTTTTCGGCTCCATGGCCAGAAAAACTCCGATACCAGGTTTGATGGAAGTTTCATAATTTTATGACACCTTAAGATATCAAAATTAATTCTTTTTATGAACCTGGTACATCAAATGAATTATCTATTAATTTTTTATTCTTGTACTAGTGCTATACTACCAGGCATAAGACTAATTCTATGATACCCAAAATACATTAAATCGACCTTAAGTAACTTCATAGAACTGTCAGTTTCAATTGCATCCTTGATGGTACTTAAGTACATTTGGCAGGTATCATGATGAAATAATTCTCGAGGCTGTATTTTAGAAAGTAGTTGCAAAATAGGTTACGAGTTAATGCGATGTTGAGAGAGAGAGAGATTTGGAATCCTATATTTACTGAAAATGAAATTTTAAATTAATTATAGTAAAGATGCACAATCTTTATAGAGGATGTTTGCAGCCTGTAAGGAATAAACCTTCAAAAGGATAAAGAATCATTTAATACATTGTGCTAGTCTACACTGCATTTACTATGTTACTCTCAAGTCTCGACACTCCCCCTCAAGCTAAACTTGGTTGAGGTTACTACATTTAGCTTGCTTCTGAGCCTATAGAAGTGAAGATCTGAGAGTTCCTTGGTAAGAATATCCGCTGTTTGATCTTGAAGGGAACGTGTTTAGCCCGAAGTTATCTTTCAATAACTTTTTCCTCCACAAAATACACATCAAGCTCCATATGTTTTGTTCTTAAATGAAGTACTGGATTGGATGATAGAGAAACTGCACTTTTATTATCACACCATATCATTGGTGCTTTACTTTGTAAAACTCTAAACTTCCTTAATATGGTTTGAAGCCACAGGATTTCTACAGTTGTACAGGCCAAGCTTCCATATTCTGCTTCCATTGTTGATCTTGAGATCTTAGGTTGTTTCTTGGAGCTCCATGAGACTAAGTTTGCTCCAAGATAAACACAATAGCTCAAAGTGGATCTCCTATCATCCGGATTGGATGCCAATTTTGATAATCCTATAATGTGTAGGTTCTCTGGTCTTCCTAACAGACACCAATACTTAATTGTTCATTTTAGATATGTAAGTATACTATTAACAACTTTCAATGTGCGTCCAGAGGACTTTGTATGTGTTGAAATACCTTGTTGTCACTATAGGAAATCTCTTATATAGTGATTGTAGCATAGTGAAGAGCTCCAACAATATGTCATGGCTCACCTCCCTCAATTGGGTCATTTATTTTTATTTATCTAGTTGGGCTTGTATAGTGGGCTAGCCCAAGCTCTTTAGGTTGTTTTCTTCTATATATAGTTGGCTTTGAAGACGATGAGGGTTGTAGATTGATGAATTAAATCGTGGCTTTTGCCGGTTGTCTTCCCTCTTCCTCTCCCATTTTTCTTTTGCTACTGTGTTTCTCCCTCTCTGGTAAGTTTCTTCTTTTGGCAGCTTCTTCCTCTTCTTCCCTGTTTTTCCCTTCTTCTCCTCCTGTTTCTTCTTCTCCTACTTCTTCATCTCCCCTTCTTCTCGGTTCTCCTTCTTCTCTTCTCTTTCTCTAATTCTGACTTCCACTTCCCTTGTTTTGTATCTATCTTTGTCGTTTTATGTAATTTCAGTTTAATCATGAAATTATAGCTGGGTATTCGAATCCCAGTTTAGCACATTAAACTTTTTGAGTTGATTTGGATTGTAATTTAGTTGGCTATTGGAGTTGAGTTGGTTATTGATTCCTAGCTAATTATATTCAATTGTGGGTTGATCTTGAGTAGAGTTTAGTTGGTTATTGATTGAAGTTGAGCTCCAACCATAACACAATAATCCGGTAGAATGATGCATTTTCAATTGGATCACCAAACTTTGACGAGAGTGGAGCATTGGTGATCGTTGGAGTGCTAATGCTTTTGTCATTTGTCATTCCAGCATGTTCAAGGAGGTCAGTAATGTACTTGCCCTGACTGAGATGGAGAGAGCCACTCTCAGTCAAACTGACCTCAATACCAAGAAAATATTGCACAGAGCCGAGGTCTTTGGAGGCAAAAGTTGATGTAGAGATGATCACATTTTGAACTTCTTGGGCATCAACCCCAATAATGATGATAATATCAACATAGGCTAGGATGAAGATACAAAAATGGGGCTTGAACAATAAGAAAAGAGATGAGTTCGCCTTGGAGTTAATGAATCAGTAGTAACCAGGACCAGTTTGAGCTTGTCGAACCGAACTCGAGGAGCTTATTTAAGATCATAAAGAGCCTTATGGAGCTTGCAAGCTTGATATTCAGCAGCTGGATCGAACCGAGGCGGTTGAAGCATATAAACACTCTTCAAAAGTTCCATTCAAGAAAGTATTGTTGATATCGAGTTGTCTTATGTTGTGCAGTGCAGGGGTCAAAATAATACATATGGTCACTGGTTTTACAATTAGGATGTACAATCTATATAGAAGACGTTTACAGCCTGTAAAGAGTAAATCATCAAAAGGACAAAAGAGTCCTTTAATACATTGTACTAGTCTAAACTGAATTTACCATGTTTACCCTTAATAGTTAAACATGGACATCCATATCATTTATGCAAATTGGTGTTTTTGAAATTTTTTATCTAAAAAAGTTCAAATTGATAGCTAGGGCGATCCCCCCCCCCCCCCCCCCCCCCCCCCCCCCCACACAAAAAAAAACAAAAAAACAAACACCC